GCCATAATTCTGTATCGCGGCTGAATAGTGTCGAACAATATGATTCCTCAATTGGGTGATAGCCACTTCCTTCGTATTAACGATAATAAGCAACAGGTATTGGTAAGGACTGGATGAGGATAACTAAATGGCGGGGTTAGAAGCAACAGTGGCAGTAAGCAAATACATACAATGTCCATAAATTCGTCCGTTGGCCATTTTTCTGTGAAATGAATTAGTTGCTCAATTTATTTAATTCATCTGCAGAACAAACATACTGAGACAGTTCTCGGAAGACTGTGAACTGGACATCAACCAGATGTTTGACAGAAGAACTGATTGATCGGACAATTTGAAAACAGTCATGTGACAAAGCTCAAGTTAATTGGCAATAGAATGCATTATGAAGGTGAATAAATTATGAATGAAGGGCACAGTTTATCATCAGTTAATCCAGAATAGTGTTTCTATGGCTGAAATTTAGTGTGGCTGTCTTATACAAATGGGTTACTTTTTATCGAGTATTTTGTTGGATCAATTAACTTCGTAATTCGTTCGTCTTATGGAAATTAACCTGATTTCTGTTCCTATTTATCAATATAGAAACCACCCGAGAGAGTAGGATGCACAATACTGAAAACCGTCATTCCATGTAGCATTGTGATTGAAAGCCTTTTGCTGCCGGTTGATGAAAAATTGATGTTTGCCGGGAAAATACTACATCCTTTTATTTATCGACCTAGATTCGACAATCTGACTGGAATGAACTGAACACTTCAATCGTATCTTATTCGAAAAGCATTTTTTTCACTACTCATGGAACCGAAGGACTGGTTAAAAAAAATTTATCCTGAAAACCAATTTGAACAGACAATAAACAAATAGTATGCTAACCCATGAATTACGAGCAATGATGAGGAGTTGAAAATACACTGTGGAACGTTTCTGTTGCAAATGCTTTGGTGGATGAACAACTCGTCGATCACTGTTCTCTGATACGCCTTGCATTTTAGTCTTCTTGTGAGTTGATGTAAACCAGGCGACAGAATATTAAGACGAACACTCGATAATGATAATGCTTCTGCCACGTCTATTTTTCAGTAAACCAGTGAATAGAGGAAATCCATAGTTGCTCCAAAACGAAAGCATCGAGTTTCAAACCAGTGATGACCTAGCCCGGAGTGAGTAACCCCCATCCCCTTCACCCGTGATGAGAAAGAAAGAGAAGACGACTGATGCTATCAGTTTCAGTTTGAACAACCATTAGCCATGCACTTTCGTGCGCCGGTTTTGGTTGCTGTCTTTCGGCTGCCCATTGGAATGATGCTATAAATACTGTAGAACATCTACCATCTACTCAAAGCGTGATATCCAAAGTTTACAATATTTTATTGATAATCACGTGCTTTTACATCTCTCACCACCAAGTGATCATGACAAATCATATATTTGTTAAATACGAAACAACGGTGCAAATCAAGGCTATTCATCAGAATAGACAGTAAGGTCATGGTAAATAGCTAACATATCGAGCGGTGTCTCATTGGTTAGCATTCAAACTAATCCAATAATATATTTTGCACTATGATGAGAATAATGAAAAATCATTAATCGTTTTTAATGGAATGTCTTGAAGGTTGGTCCAAAACCTGTCTACAGCACTTGAAATCCATACATCCATTCCCGTTTATTACTTAGAACTGTGTTGGCCGATATGTATCTGTTCGCAAACTTAGTCCTCCTGAATATTTATCCTTACCTTGATACGGCTCCCAGCCTTCTAGTTACATCCTATACATTCTTTACCCACATGGGCTGCCACTCGATGGCAGCCGAAACCACCGTACGAAGGTGTAAGGTCAATGGTTTTGAAAACGGAAAAACATAATCGAGTATATGAAGTAGCTACTCATAAGTAGTTAGTTTATCAGATTGAAAATACTTCAGTAGATGAAAACTTATTCCACGCGGGTTGCGCTGCTTTATTATTACTCCAAATAACGGTGGTTAAGTAAAGGCATGAGGTAATTATAATTACCTCCAGTGAGTCGTGGAATCAATTGTGTGATTTTTCTCCCCATGACTGTTAGCCGAAACTTGTCTGTGAATGATGTATAAACACCGAGGACAAGCATTATCTGTTTAGGGGTTGGAGAAAGGCACAAACGCAGCTGATTTTATTTGCACGAAACTGACGGAGCTGGCTGAATGTGGCTCACGAATGAATAAACATTCCCCAATGATCATGACGCACGCAACACACACACAAGTGGGGGAGGGGGAGGGAGAGATCAAACACAAATTAATAGCTCAGACAGGTTCATTTCATACCCAGTTCTGTTTTTGTAGAACGTTAGGTGTTACATTTTACTACTCATGAGTAGCATATTTTATTAGGAAAAATTCCTGGGGGGGG